TAATATAACTGTAAATACTGTAGTTATATATCTGTAAAATACTGTAAATTTTTACAATAATTTAAATATATTTATGAAGTAAAATGCAATAATACCCCAAAGATTCGCAATATCTGTTTTTATATTGAAACTTAATGAAAATACGAATGTTATGTAGAACAATCTATTTTATTGCATTTATTGCACTTTTTTAATGACCATTTTTAATATATGTGTCTTTACATTAAATAGATAGTCTCGATACACATATAAATCGTGTAGCTGCTATTGGCTTCCAAAGAGCAGAATCGCTCGATTCTTTATTCATAATAAAAATTATTTGTCTTGTTAAGCTGCGAACAAAAATAATACATAAAAGATATGTATATATGCTACAAGACCAACTGTGCGATAAACAACTAATTTGTACGTTATAAAAAACTTTGTAAATACGAAATTTTATTTTTAACTATGTACATAAAAAAATTTTTGAAAATTAATTAAAAAAAATTTATGATTTATGAATTTTTTCGATATGATTGTTTAAACATTTTCTAGAGCAACATGCCACTTTTACACATTTTGGGCACACTAATAACTTCCATATTTCTTTGAGATCATTAGCACTATAATCACATTCGCAACAAACCGGATCTATAATAGGAACCTTTTTCTCCAACAAACGATAATTTGTACGAGCTTTTTTGATCAATTTTCCGGTCAAGTTGTCGCCACATTTACCGATTATTTCGATTTCTTTATAAGTTTTCAATGCCGAACGATAATTTTCGTCCAGTTCGTGTGATAATGCTATACAAAACAGTATATTGATACGTATGGCCTTTCGTATTTCGTTGTCTTGGTGAAATAAAAACTTGGAAAATTCGATTTACATACAGTACGTTAGTCGTTGATAACGATGATAGGTTTTGATGGCAAAGCCGAGTTATTGTATAAAGTTGTTGATGGAGATATTAATATTGTTGTTTTGTTGATAACGATGATTCGTTGACCATATACTCATTATATTATTCTTAACAACCTGAAACAACCTGCTAATAAAGATTCAACTCTTGAATGAATGTGTAGTAGATCATTACTATAATGGCTTAGTTTTTTTTAAAAATTTAATCCAAATAGTATAGCAAACAACATCTTAAACATGAATTGATTTTATATTATTACCAAAAAAGGTATATATTAAATCGAATGAGAAAATAAGGCGGGAAGGGATCAATTAAATCGTTAAAAGGAAGACCAAAGAGCAATTTCGAAGAAAAGATGGAGATCAATTGTGAGAAAATTATTTTTATCTTTGATTGTTTTGTTCGTGAAACCTCATTTCTCTTAATATTGTTCACTTTAAATTCAAAGGTAAAGATGAAAAAATTGCTTGGTTGTTATAAAAAAAAAAAAAACTACTTGACCTATATAAAGAATAGCTCGGGGCCCTGATTTAATCAAATCGAGTGATCGTTTAACCCATTTCCATTTATCACATGCCAAGGACAAAGATTTTTCAAGCTTTTTGTCTAATTAAATTTTTTTTGTACAACTAAATCGGGAACACGGCATTATCATTTATAGTGATTATACCATATATGAACAAATAAGTATATTTAGTATCGAATCCGAGTTTATTATTGTGAACCATGTGTTGTCCAATGTAATAATGATCATGTAGTAATTTGAAATTTGTTTAAACTTTATTTTCGTGTTTAATTACCTGACAAGTTTGTTCCCACCTAACACGTTCGGGCCGGTGACCGTGGTCATTAAGAAACAAAACCAAATGCTGTTATCTTTGGGCGCAGCGATCCTATTCCATATGTGTATTATTATTATTATTAGCAGTGCTAGTGCCAATCACGGAACTCATACATTTCATGATAAATGGGGCAAGTTCAAAAAAAAGTTCATATCTACCTGATAGCTAAGCATCTTTGGAAAAGTCCATTTATTTATTTTAATGATTATTATTATAGAAAGAATTGTTCGAATAATAATTGACCACTTTGACGATGTTTTCGTGATTTGATAGATTCAAATATCTTTAAATCAATGCCGGATCATCCCTACCGTATAATCCTTATTACTATATTAATATTATCATATTTATTTACTATGCATGCTGACTCAGCAACCTGATTATGTTATCAGTTTAACTGTTTTTTTATAATTTAAAAAAAAAATCCTGAGAATTGAGATTTGTGGTTAACTAAGGGTGCAAACATATGAACACTTGAGGGTTACGACATCAGCGTCACTTTCCATATGCTGTGTCATGTGCCGAATGCCGTAACCCTAGCTTATGTCACATCAAAAAATTTATCAACCGGTTTTTTTTAAGAATAAAATATCCCAAGTCTATATGACTCAGATAATAAAAAACATTGTTTTTGATGATTAATCATTCAATGTTTTTTTCATTATATATACAGTACACTTCTCCAATAATAAAAGAATCATCATCATCATCTATTAATATTGATAATTAATTTGAACATTATTTTATCAATGAATGAACAAGTACAAAATTTGACCACCATTACCAATGTAACTTCTGATGCAGAGAATAATGAACATACCTTTTATGAAAGTCCTCCTCTCCAACCTCCTTTTTCATCTATAAAAAAACAAACTTCAACCAGCAATGAATTAAGAAATGTACCAAATGATTCATCAGTTGGTACTTTAATGAGTTTAGAATCAGAAAATGATTATTTAAATAATGTTAATTCAAATGATAATTCAATTCGGACAAGAAACACCTTAATAATTGGAGACATTATTGATTTTAATTTTTTTAATAATAATAATGAAGTAAATGAAAATGATACTAATATAAATAGTTGGACTATGATTAATATTTATTTGAAAAATAAAAATTTGTGTTAATTATTTCATACAGCATATTGGCATAACGTATGGCATATGGCACAACGTACAGCACGCAGCATTTACGTTTGCATACGGCACAACATATGGCACATGGCATAACGTACGGCACACGGCAGTTATGTTTGCATACGGCACAACATATGACTGACACATACGGCATACGGCACAAAAATACGGCATACGGCCATTCGGCATTTAGCTGCAAGGGTTACAACCTTTTCACGTCATATAGGTGTTGTAACAATAGGTTACAACTCGGCAATATGTTTGCACCAATTAACTGGTTATTTGTAGATCATCCAAATATTAAGAACAATGAATCGACTAACTTCTTTTTTATTTTGAAAGCTTTACATAATAAATTATATAATATGACAGGTAGCTTATCAACCTGGTGTCATTATCCTCGCTTTTCTAAAAACGAAAAAGTGCAATGTCTGTAAGAACTATTATCATAAAACTGGTAAAAAAAAAATTTCATTCACAAATAAATTTTAAAATTAAACTTGTATTTATTCCTTAAACCGTATTCACATGCTAAATTCTTATTAAGAGTGATAGTAATGTGAAAAAACATAACAAAACATTAAATATCATATAAATCAGTTAATCGGTCTAGAGGTTTTGTGTTGTTTGGTTAATGCAATTAGTTGTGAGAATTATTGTAATTATCGCCGTCATTTGACAATTGATCGGTTTTTCCTTTCTAAATCCAAAAATAAATATATTTTACACCTTTGATATTTATCATAACGAGTACTTTCCGCATCTTTATATCTTCAAATTCTGCATGCTTTGGAAAAAAAATTTTTTTTTTTAATAATTATCCAGTATAATTGTCAAATCTAGCCGGATGATATTAATTATGAGTTCTTCCATCATCACGACCGCTTCTATCATAATAAGCATTATCCTCACTACCAGGGAAATGCTTCTACCACAATAGTGTGACTTTATAGTCTTGAGAGAGAAACTCTTCTATCATATACCACATAATTCGTTACGTTAATGAAATATTTGATGTTAACAGACAGGCGTTAATCATACACCTGTGCCCTGAGGTTAGTGGTGGAACTGTGAGATCCACTTAGTTGCTTGTCGAAAATATTACCGTATGACACGGTGGATGATCCTGATAGGTTATGAAGCCGACCTTGTAATAGGTTTTCATATTCAGTATCTACCTACATTGCGGAAGACTAGGTATCATTGATGTTTACTTAATTAAATTGCAGAACTGGTGGAAAAAGAAATGTTAATTTATTCTCTCTCTAATACTAAATAAACCGAACTTCCGACATTGCTTCTGTTATTGCATCTTCTTTTAAACCAATCATTACTATGTAGCTGTGGAAATTAAAATATCACTCAAGACAAGACTATTAATAATCGTAATATTTCGCGAGTCTGTTACATGTATTGTCATTTTTTCTTTTATATTTTTGTTGTTAGCTTGGTAGAACGTGCCCATAATATCATCTTGTTGTTTTCTTTCAAAAAACCAACTACTGCATCTATTACTTCTAACATCCTAAATGGATCATTATTTAAATTTTACAAGTTAATTTATCTCTGGAAAATCTGATGCTTGCATAAAAGTACAGATTTATCAAATAACATCTGTTGGTGACAAACGCATAGTTCTTCACAATAATAATAACAATGAATGACGTGAGCGCCAGCTTACTATATCATACCATGTTGTAAGTATGCAAAACGGGTCAAGGTTTAATGTAATTGAAACATCAGTGAAACAAAGTAGCGTGTTTGCGTCGCCGCAAGCTGTACTCTTGGAGAATGGAAATGTTACAATGAGATTGCATCTTCGAGAATTTACTTCAACCCTGGGAAGCAATGTTAATTACCCACCCGGTCCAGTATCTCACCTTCGGGTGAATAGAGTGGTAGGTATAATTTTAGTGATGTGCAGTTCGGTAACGTTAGTAAAAGTCTTGGGATATTTCTGATTTACTGCATCTCTAAGATATTTCATATTTGTTACAACCATCCAATCCTAAGAATATTAGGAATTGAATGATGCTCTGTATTTGCGCAAAGAAAGAAAATCATTTGATTGCTAATTTTTATAGTAATAGTAAGAAACTATAATTAAATTATAGGTATCGTCACGAACAAACCAGAATATTTTAAGCAGCCCAACTTGTAATCCATTGTACCACTTTATTGTTAAATCAATTAGTGTCCATGACCTGGAACCACTGCAGAAATAGCACAATATTTTATATGTAGATTTGTACAAGCTTGAGTTTCTGGTTATAGCTCCAAAATTTCTAAAATTACATAATCTAGGATTGTTTTTATCCAAGATCCAAACAAATATTATTGGCTAAGATCATGCAGATCTTTCATTGAAAGCTTCATTAAATGGTCATACAATTTCCAAAACTATGCATTATGTGTATTTTTAACTGCTTCACAAGCCTACCAAAAATAGTCAATAGTTTCAATTATAATCATAAAGTTACCAGAAAAATGGACGCCCAGGTTTAACATTCAAAATCTACCATGCTTCTAAAGTTGGTGTGAAATTCTGAAACTAGTTGTCAATCTAAGTTATAATTCTTGGTTTAAATATAGCTGTTTTGCCATTTTTTGACCTGTGATAGTGTTAAAATTAATATCATAAATTTCCCTCTATTATTATTTAACAATTACTGTTGTTGTTTTTTTAAATATAAATAAATATAGTAAAAATAAATAAAGTCAGTAGCTACCATTGTGGAATAAATTTATATTTAATAAATAATAATATTATTAATAAGATAAATTTTGCAAAAGTATTCTTTTGGGACATGTTCTAATTATTTCGTATGTTTAAATGTATGAATTTTATACCCACAATCCAGGACCACTCATTAAATAGCAGAAAACTAACAAATTTAACAGCTCATATCTTTGTAAGTAAATATAGTTTTTTACTTGTAAAAATTTTTTTAACATAAGAAATCAACAAAATCAATCCAGTACAATGTTCAATCTCTATTTCAGGATTAATTGTTGATTTTTTGGATTTTTTTTTAAAAATGATTTAATGTCTTTATGGTAATTTTTTATCTATAAAAAGGAATTTGCAGTTTCACGAAGTTGTTGCATTATGATTATATTCTCTATGATCATGAAGCATTATTGTCTTTATGTCTATTATACCAAGGTAAAATTGTTATATTTTAAAGAACTATTACCTTTTTGATCAATTAATGAAAGAGCAAATGATTGTTTTTTTTTATCAATTATATCTTAGCAAACAATAAACCATTCCTTTTTTGGTTAACAAAACTATTAATTTCTTTGATAAATGAAGAACTATTATTTTTCCGATTAATTAATGATTGAGCTGTTGCTTTTTCAATCAATTAATAATAACAGTCAAACAATATGTCACAGGAAGTGTAATTACATATATAAAATAGAAAATTTTACTCGTGTAACAAACCAATTTTTTATTTTATTAAAATATTTCAAACAGAATTGAATTGGTGTAACAAAATTATCCATTTCAGGAATGAAAATATCTGATTCAGGAATGATCATTCACTTTTTCACTTTTTTTAAAATAAATAATTTACGTAAAAGGATTTTGCTGTTTCACGAAATTAAAAGCGTTGTATAGATACCTTAATTAACATTAAACATTAAACATTAAACATTAAATATTAAACTTCAACATTCAACATTAATATTTAATATTTAATATTTAATGTTAAGTTGGTGAAAACAAAATTTTTATCTAAACATAATTTTTTGGGAAGCATAAATTAAAAAAAAAAAGGTGGATGTTATCAAAAATAGTTTTTTTTCTTGTGTTGGATGATGATTATCATCAAAATGATTTTCATCTTTAATTTAAAGAAATAGTATTAATAATTAATTCATCATATCCGGATGGATTTTGGGGTTGTACCCTTTATTATTGATCAAAGAATAATAATAAAAATATATATTAATCAGTCATATGATAACTCACCTGATTGCATTTTAGAAAGTTTATTATTATTATTAATATTGTTCTTTATACTTTCATTGACTTTTCAAAATTTCCAGATCAAGTCAGATCAAGTGTTTGAAGGAGTTTACCTTATAAGCAATTTTTATATTAAATAAGTATTAGATAAAGCAGAAACATGAAGAATACATTGGTTAATCAGTGAATGTGTGAACAATTTGGAAATGGCTCTCAGTCTAAGATAAGTTGTTTATGAATCAGTGACATAAAAAATTAATGTGAATATTATGATTACATGACATTAATTAACTAGATATTTTATAAAAATTTATGAGTATATAGATGAATAAGAAGTATGGAGTACTAATTCATGTATATATTTATTTTTTAACAAAGAAAGCTATTGATTTCAAAGGTAAATTAACAAAATATAAATTTTCAAACATATGTTATTATTAATTTGCTACCATTTATCTACGTAATCTAATGCATCTTGTAAATTGGATGCAATTTTGTGTTTCTCTTGTGAATGTTGTTCTACTTCTATATTATCTTCTGAATCTTCTTGAGATTCTTCTACTTCTTCAATTCCATCATTGTCAGTAAATGTGTCAACACCTTTTTCAAGTCTATGCAAAAATGAACTAACATTTTTGTTTATTCCATTTTTATAGTACTCTTCACAATGTCAACATGTATACTCCATTTTACCATGGCAATGCCAGTGAAAACCATGACCACAAATCAATACAGTACCAGCACCATTTTCATCTAAAATTTTATGGCAATCATCACAAAGACCTGGCGAGGGAGGGAATCCAGCGCTGTAACCTGTTGGTAAGCATCTTACTTCAACCTCTTTGTTTAAAACAGCAAGTTAGTATTTTATATTTATCTTTTTCTTTTTTCCTTGCCTTTTGCTTTTGCTTTTGCTATTTGTTGTACTGGTGATAGCATTGATATTTTGGAAGACTTGGTGAAAATAATCTAGCAAAAACAATGCAGTCTTATTAGTCAAGTGCTCTAGGTCAGAGGGAGTGTAAGGGTATCCTTTTTTTGCATGAAATGTTTCTTTAAATGAGGATTGTTTATTTGCAAGCATAGTGGACATTTGATTTCATTGGCTAATTTTTGTGATGATCTCCCTTCGAAATATCAC